TGGAGCACCATATTGAGCGGGAGTTACATCATATGGGCAGAGTGCTACAGAAAAGAGGGAAAATCGACAATTTTCATTTTTTTTTTTACACAAATCAATTTAGATCATTTTCACTTAAAACACAAAAGCAGTTGCATTAATAAAATTTTGTAATATAGCTCTTTAAAGTTTATATTTTCTGTAGCACCTAGCCCATATAATTGCACAAAAAAAAAAACATCCATTTTCTTAAAACTTTACCAAGTTATTCTTTAGTCACCGAGCTTACGGTCTACATGACTTCTATAAGACACGACTACATAAATGTATGTATAAACTTATGAATGAACGTTACAGTATTTACTAGTTATATAACAAGTAATGTGCATTTTATTATTATTATTATTTTTTGTGCTTACACAAAGCTCTTATTTTATAAAATATATATTTGGGTCATTCGTACGTATTGATTATTAAGAATTGTGCTATAGTTTATTATAGTTCTTTATGTTAATAGGTTATAGATATAAATATAATACTTTAGAAATAATTGCAAGTGTAAAATTATTATGATTTAATAGAAATTACGTTAGATATTCTTGTTGAAAGAAAAATAAATACAGAAATATGAGAAACAAACGATAATATCTTCGATTATATTATCGTGAATGTTGTATTAAGATATCAGCCAATCACGTTTAATGAAACAATCAATAAAAAAGAATTTCTGTTATGCTTTAGCACACAAACAAGTGACTGCGATGGAATACACGTGAATATTGACTTATTTATACTTTACCTTTTACACGTGTTACTCTTAATACTAACGCTAAGTTCTATTATATTAATATTAATTCAAATAATGGTTGACCTTACACCCGACTTTCGCAGATTAGTTAATGAAATTTCAACAACCTCAAGTACAGAAAATGGCATAAAGAAACGCATCGATGTTCTTCCGCCAGTCAAAAAGAATGTACGGGATGTGCAAGATGAATTTTTGAAGGAAGCTTATCGAATAGTGTGTATATATTATAGATTGAATATTTTGTCTCTTAATTCTGGATAAAAGCGAGTTTTTTTTTTTTCAACACCTTACCAATGTAGGCTTCTCATATAAACAACCTTAAAACTCTTCTTCTCTCGATTAGAAAAGCTTACTTGAACGTATCAAGACAGAATTCTTCAAATCATAGGTATAGTTCTAGTCCCGCTTTTTTAATCAAAGATAATTTGGATCAGGGATTATCTCCACGGATCGATCCTTCCATAACGACTTTAACAGATAAACAACGCGACGAAATCGATTTACACGCAAAAACAATAATTCAGCAATGTCATAATAGGATAAAAGAATTGGAAGGTGCCGAGCAAGGTAAGTATCACAAACCATCCTGTATTTTTAGATAACTCGATTAATAATTCTTATTTATATAATTCTTTTTAGTTCGTCAAAGTTCAATTGCAAATAATACTTGGACAAATATTTTATTAACCGTATTTTCCTCTGATGAACGTGATGTATTGGGTGCAATACGAAGCAGTATAACATGGTTTTTAAATAAAAGATTAACCGAAGTTTCGAAAATTCAGAAAGATCAACAAGAAACCAGAATAATGAAAGAAATTGAGAAACGTGAAAGGTACAAATCATTGATTAATTTTGGTGTTTTTATGTTTTATTAATATGCTTAACTTTTTTGTTTTGTATCTCACGCTTAATTCACCAAACAGCACATTATATAAACCGACAGAATCAAAATCTCCTTCACGGCCATCTTCAATCATTCAAACTATGTTAAATGAAGAATCAGAAACATCTATGAAATCTGATAGTGAAATGAGCGGTAATGTTGAAAATGATGATGATATTGAACAGCACTTGTCTGCAGAACAGAAAATGATATTAGAAAGGGAAAATGAGTCTATAATGAAAGAATTAGCTACAACATTAGAACAAGTCAAGTACGTAATATTTAAATTTTTTGTCATTTTTGAAAAGAGATTAAAGAATTAATAAATTTTATTGAAATAGTCAAGCTGAAAAAGCATTATTGGAAATCTCAACCTTACAATCCGTTCTATCAAATCATTTGGCTGTACAAACTCAACAAACAGATCGTCTATATGCTGAGGCTATTGCTATCACTGATAGAGTTCAAGAAGGAAATTTAATGTTGACAAAAGCTAGACAAAGAGCTTCTGATACAAGAAAATGGATTCTTGTATTTTTAATATTAGCAAGTTTTATTCTATTATTTTTAGATTGGTATGATTAAAATAGATCTTTTTGTAAGCTAATATTTGAAAAAATTAGTGATTTAAAAAAAAAAAAAGACATTTGTTAGAATTTTGTAAATGATTGTAATTTAACTTAGTCGGATAATTTTGTGTGATTCATTTTTATTTGCAAAAATGGAAATTGACAACTCATGCCAATTGAGTGTTTCAAAAAAAAAAAAATACATAGAAACGCATTATGTCATGCTTATCATAGTTATTGATAAATAAAAAGTGAGATACATGTATTTATAATATGGATTTTATTGTTCATCCGTAGTTTCATTAGTTTCATTCGTTTCATCCTTTTTTTCTTCAACAGCATCCGAAGCATTTTTATCATCCTTCTTCTTTTTGTTTTTTTTCTTTGGTCGCAAGCTGGTAGCCAACAAGGATATAATCTCTTCATCCTCCACCTTTTTATCACTTTGCACAACCTCTGGATCAAAGAATGTGCTTGTAATTTTAATTGATCCAGTTTTGGTTAAAAGAACTGTATTAAAGAACTGTGCCACAAAATCTCCTATAAAAATAATAACGAAAAAGGAGTATATAAAATGTATATAGAATTAAAATTATATATATATATATGTATAAAATAAATGAAATTTGTGGAATTTTAGTTTACCCTCTTTTCCTTGATACACATCATATGGTGTTACTAATGCGTGATTTGCACATTCGGCTATACCCAATCTAGCCTTTTTTTCATCCTCCAACGCTCTCAAGGGAAAAGGAAAAGTGCCAAATTTTTGACTAATTTCACTAAATACGAGACGCGATGTCTTAATCTTTAAAGAATATGTGTTTCCAGTCTTTTTATAAACAGTGGTGCGGATAGAAGAAGGCTTAGGCTGTAATAAATATATATATATATATATAGTATGAGAATGATAAACCGTGTATTAAAAAAAATTTGTGGAAAAAATAGATTTTCTTACCTTTCCTTCTCCAGTCGAGATTAAGATATCAATACCGTATACTTCATTCTCACCGAATTGTACAGTTTCAAAATCGCGTTTTTGAGCTTCATTCGGATTGAGAATAATTTGTTTTTTACCTTCAATATCATTTTTTTCCTGTTGATATGATAACATTCCTATAAATAAAATAAACGCGTTTATTTAATAATTATAGATTTAAAAAAAAAAATGATAAAAATTTTTAAATTATTACCTTCAACAGAATTTGTATCAAAAGATTTAGCAATCTTTTGTATTGTTTCGGTTACTTTGTCATTGGATAAACCGGGTTTTACTAACCTCAAGGCAGCCTCCGATGCCAAATGAGCAGCGGTTATGACATCGGCTAATCTACCCTTGACAGGTTTGTCCTTAGATGCACCAACAACAATAGTAGTAGCTGCGATTGCAGCGTAACCATCAATTTGAGCACCTAATTGAATTTTTGCTAAATCGCCATTTTTCAGTACTTCAGATCCTTCAGGATCAGATGGTAACGGAGAAAAATGACAGATAATATGATTTACAGAAACGCAAGTTGGAAAAGCAATGCCTAAAATATAAATTTATGTAATGATTAACTAAAATATTCATTTAATTGAATGGTAATAATATTAATTATTACCTTTGGAGATATTTTTAGCTTTTGCAAAAAGATTTTTTACACCCTCTTCTATTGATTTATCGCCTAATGCACAAAGATCCAATATTCTTGCCCCCTCTACAGCGGCGTCAATAACCAACTTAAGCACACCTATTGGATAATAAAATGATCAAAGTTCACGTATCAAACAATATACCGCACCGCACAAAAAAGTAACTCAAAATGCAAGCATTCTAGTCTTTAAATTCCCAAAGTATTCTTTCATTAAATTATTCAACGACAAAAGCTTATAGTTATTGATTGACTCTTAAAAAAATTTTTTTCAAATAAAAAAAATTTTTTCAAAATTCAAAACATGTAGTTACGTGTTTATAACGTCTACTAAGTTTTAAGAACTTATACTACAGTTTGATAACAACAAAAAACATACGATTCGAAATCTCTGCCGCCATTTGATATTTTTGAACGACATCAGGATTTTGTACAGTTTGGATTACTTCGCTTTGTTCAGCCATTTTTTGCGAATAATTAACACAGTTTGAAATGAGCGCAGTAAAAAATAACAATTTCGTTTTATCTATATTGTATCAACCAATCATTTAGCACTGATATGTAGATTTAAGGTCTGTACAACGAAAGCTGCCCTCTTCTAAATGACTAACCATTAGACATCTAAATTGGCTGACGATACAATTGTCGTTACGGTAAAATGGGAATGTAGAATGCTCGGGCGAATAAGAAAATATAATTTTACAATATAGCAGTATATCAAAGATAACACGAAAAAAATTTCAGAATATTACAATATTGTCGGTCTCATTTAGATTCTATTTTTAGTTGATTATATTTCTAAAGATCGCGTTCTAAATTCCTATGAACATATATGAGTCATCCAAACTTTTATAACATGTCATCACGAAGTTAAGGAACATTCAACCAACAATTATCGTTATTATTATTATTTGCCACCGAATGTATTATCGTCATTAACTATCGTCAGCATTTCGGCGTACATACTCCGACATTTTCCATACGCAGAAATTGATGGAATTTTCTATTTGTATAAAATTTTCTGTTACTGTAGTACAAAAGCATAATTGACTGTAGAGTATTTAAATGATAAGCTTAAAACATCAAAGCCAAAATTTTGGCGTTTTATACTTGTAAAATTCATAATGACAGAAGAAAATATAATAGTAGAAAAGAACCTTTTTTCAAAGTATGTCTTACGAACCGTTTACTTGTTCTTAATAATATTGTACTTGTACATTGCTATCAAAGAATATCCGATATGGAGGCGTATTGGGAGTGCCTTTTTTACTCGTTCAAGAAGGCATGGAAATGAGTCTCAACCCTTACAAATTGGAAATTCTGACCGATCTCTAATATTCTATATTCCTTTCCTTCCTTTCGCAGTTTTGTATCTAGCGCTGAGAATGGCATTAGATTTTTTCAGATTATTTATAGTATTTTACCCACTATACTATGCGGAAACAGTATCAATAACGTCAGGCAATTACATTATTTCATGCGCAAAAAAAGTTCCTGAAATATGTGCTGCGATTCCTTCATTTTTGAACACTTACATAATAAGCCCATTTTTAAAAATAATTTATACCTTGCTCGATTGGATGTACAAATACTGTTGGCCTGTCGTCAAACAACTGGCAATTACGGGCTGGACCGTGTGCACTACGGTAATTGTGGAGGGAAAAAAAATTATAGTATATTCATTTCATAAATCAATAGAGCTATCTATAACAGGGTGGAATGATTTTGGTTATCCATTGACAGCATTTATAGCACAAGCCTTTGACACTTTGATCATTAAGCCAGTGAAATGGATTGTTCCAAGAATTAAATATCTTGCAAGAGTTTCATGGCATTGTGCTTGTTTCCTTGCTAGAGACCTTGCTAAAGATGTGGGCGATCTTCTTACTTTTGTGTGGTCGACTTCTATGACACTATGGAATCGTATATTCAAACCTATAGGTCATTTCTTTTACCACTCTACAATAACTCTGTGCCATAAAGTACTTGAAAATTATTCAGCCATTAGACGATTTTTATATGTCCGACTCATTTTACCTGGCATTAACGATATCGTTAACATTTTCTATGGGATCTGTTCTAACAAAACATTCCGTTATGTGGTTGAAAGTTTTATATCAATATTTCCCTTCTTATATAATTCGCTGGTGTCCTCTCTTGTCAAATTTTACGAAATATCGAAAATTATGATACCAATTTGGGTCAAACGCATTAAAGAATGTGGCCTAGAGATTATACAGGATTCTTATATTACTTGTATGGATATAATTGCGTTTTTATCTTGGACGTATCACATCATTATTTTACCTATCATTAATATTATTCCGGTCGTTAGACATCTCACAAGCTCAATGTATAGATATATTAAAGGATTTCTACTAGATATCAGTGTTCCAGTATGGAACGCCTTTAAATTATTATTACGACCTGTTATTTCAACTTTAAGTTTCTTTTACACAACTGTTATATTGATGATTATTTTCACATCATTACGATTTGCAAAGTGGATAATCTCATTGACAAGCACTATGTTGAATCATGCACTAAAATTTACACAACAGTCTTTATCTCTAGTATTCAAGGCTTTTGAATTAGCGTATAATGCAATATTACCTCATTTCAATAATTTCATCTCAATAGCAAGTGAACGAGTTCTTATTATTTATGATTTTACGATTACATATCTACAATGGTTTACATTATTAATTTCAGAAATTATAACTGCTCAAATGTACGCATCAAAGGCATTTTTGACAGGGATATATGTAAAATGTGAACCTATGGTTATAGATTTAGGACAACGAGCAGTAGAAATGGCTGACTCAGCTGTTAATAACATTGGGCAAGGCATGATGGAATGGGTCAAGAGAGAAGGAGAAATAAGAAATTCAATGTCCCAAAGATTAAATTAAATGAATTCTTTTATATATCAGATATAATATAAATTAAACATTTTTGGAACAATCCTATAAATTATGTACTATGTACATCATACTATTGTTTTTCAATATTATATATTTTTACCGATATTTAAAGTGTATAGTTCTTTTATTCACAATATAAATAAATGTATAGTAACCATCGTTTCGCCTTTAAGATTATTATATTGAATCATGATATGTATCATTTGATATCGTAAAATGTTTGTATCATACGGATGTGTGAATCTTCCAATTTACAAAGATTAGATATTTCATCAGCTAGAAGTTCTTCAAGGTATAAGATGGATAGTATCCGGATATAACTCATTATACAAGTCAGCAGTTTACGGTAATATGACGAGAATTTGTATCTATATTTTTTCCATTTGGTATATTAAACAAAAAGCCAATTTTTTAACGTTAAAATACAAGTTATATGCCATATACCAGTAAGTTAATTGGCTGTTTATCATAACCCAACCGGCTTTTGTAAAATTTCGGGTCAAAAATTAGTTTAAAAATTTTCAAGTGGGTTATATATTTTCTAGATCATAGTAACTATTAAATGTAAAGTTGCATTATGATTTCGTAAATTACAATGTAATTTTATGCAATACAACTCTAGGCTAATATCAAATTATGTTGATGTAGATGTGATAGTCGTGTCACTTGTATGTGATAGATCATCGTTAGAAGCATTTTGCGACACATTTAAATTATCTAAAGTATCTACGACTTCAAGAGATGAGTCAGCAACCATTTCATTATTTGATACATTATCCGATACATTATCCGATACATTGCCCAATACATTGTCCAATACATTGTCCAATACATTGTCTGATTCTTCTGACTCAATAGACGGTAACCAAAATGCCTATTATCAATTTATAATGTTTAAATGTTGATTTATCTGAGAGCAATAATATAGAAAGCCTTTTTTTATACTTACCAAATCTGTACACGCACTAACCATCATAAGCCTTGCTGGATTGAATCTTACAACTTGCGTTGGCCTAACATGATGTTCTAGCGTATGAATAGGTCTTAAATCAATCCCATCTGATATAATGGCTGATGTGCTTAAGGATGTTCCAGTATCCCAAAAGTTTATCTGTCCATCTTGGGATCCTGTTATAGGATATACTTTGTCAGAATATGGTCAATTATGTATGATAAATTGAAAATAAACAATAAAATTATATATCACCAGCTATTACGTATCGACCATCTGGTGTGAAGCTCGTCTCCTCACCACCCAAAAAAGATGATGTATTATTAAGTCCCACATGTCCAACCAATCGTGACTTTAATTCACCTGTATGAGCGTGAATTATATAATGAACGTCTCCTGCCGTAGTTACTAATATTTTTTCATCATCGTTACTAAACTTGAGTCCTGTCCATTCGGGAAATATAGGTGGATTTGGATAAATACTTGGGGCCATATAACTATCGAAGACGTTAAATGTACTGAAAGGCGCCTAAAGAAAAAACACATTTTATTAATCTTATAATAAAAATGATGTAAAAAGCTCGCATAAATTATTAACCTTATCATATTGTCGCACATCGTACAACCGCACTGAATTGTCAAGATTCTGAAGACCAATCGCGAAAACGCGTCCTGAAGGATCGAATGCCACGCAAGGCCTTCCTGCTAGAATGTGAAGACTACCCTATAATAAAATAATATTTTTTAAATCGTACCAAATTCTGATCCAAAACAATAAGTAATCAATTTATGATAGAATAAATTTGGTACAATTTCATTAGGTTGTCTTAAGTCCCATAATTTCACTCCTTCGTTTACGCTTCCAGATATGAACAGGTCATTAGAAGGTGACATTTCCAAAGAGACCACTCTATTATCAAGTTTCGATAAGATTTCAGTTTTTACTTGAATTTTGCATATGATAAATCTACGAATGTTTACCTATTTTGATGACCCTCAAAATATCTTATGTATTGATTAACATGTAGCGACAAATATCTTATCGTATCTGATCAAAATTTTGAAAATTAAAAATTAAAAAAAAAAATTGAAAATAATTCTTAATCTTATTGATAAAAAGAAAATATCAATTGATGGCGAACCAGTTACCGTTTTCTTTGGTGGATGAGTATATGATATTAGTGTTTAGATGAGTGAATCTAGTAAGATGTATTCCGAATTTTTTACTATACAATAGTTTTTTGTGCCTTTCGTGCATAAATATATGTGTGTAAGATACAGGGTTAGCCTCATTGCAATTGAGATCACAAATTTCTCTCGTAATGTCGATTAAATTAAATTTGGTATTTATATTAAAGACTTCGAATGTTCACTTAAAGTATTTATATATTAAAGTTTATTTTATAAGTTAAATAACTTAAAACTGAGTAATCTATTGGAAAATCTTATAACCACGCGGATTATACATAAATCATATTAAGTCAATAAAAGTTTACGCGTTCTTTGAGAGAAACTTGGAAATAAAAACAAAAAAAAATTAAAAAGATTGTATAAAAGAGCAGGATCGCGTTCTCACCTTCCTTGAAGGCAATTGTAAAGGTTAATCGAATCATCGGCCGAAGCAGTTACACAAAATTCACCTGTATTATCAAAATCTAAGGAGGTAATTGGTTGTGAATTCTCATAAAAATTTTTCGCTGCTTTAAGCTTGAGAAGGTGATCAACTGTGAGGGTAACATGTTCCTGGGATTCCATGAGACGAGAAGAAATTACTAAAATCGTAAAATCGTATTTGTTGAATTTTATCAGTTATGCATATGATTTGGTTGGTTTCACACAACCTTAAATTTTCCATTATCGGCACGTAACAAAATCTTCAACGATAATCAGGTATGGCTTCACAGGAATTAGCTATTAGACGTCAAGAAATTATTCGAAATCTTGCAAGTATTAGACAACGTATCGAAGCAATAGTTGAAGGAAAACGTGAGGTAGTCACTAATATTGTTTCGTTAAACGCCTTTCTCTAAAGCTTCATCGAAAACTGTCATAAACAATAGGCACGATTAGTTGCGATTAGTAAATTAAAACCAGTATCCGATATCCGTATAGCTTATGAAAATGGACAACGACATTTCGGTGAAAATTATGTAAGTACTATTATCTTATTTCTCTATATTTATTTTTCAGCTGACGTAAATGGTATCTGTTCGATCGAGTAGGCGCAAGAATTAGTTGAAAAGAGCAAAGAGGTAAATTACGGTATCTTTTATCGTTAAAATTGATTGATCCTTTTTTGACTTAAATCTAGCTTCCTTTAGACATTCAATGGCATTTTGTTGGCCCATTGCAAAGTAACAAATGTAAAATGCTTGCAGGTACTTTATATTATTTTTATTATTAAATATTTACATATCAATGTTAAATTTCTAATTCCATTAAGCCCCTAATTTATTGAACAGCTATTCCAAATTTATGGGTAGTAGAAACGATAGATAGTCAAAGTAAAGCAGATTTGATGAATAAAGCCTGTGCATTACGAGAATCTCCGCTTCGAGTATTTGTCCAAGTCAATACTAGTAAAGAAGAATGTACGTCATTTAATAATAAGTCGAATTTACAGAATTTTTAATTAAAATTTTATTATTGATTTTAATAATATTAGCCAAAAGTGGTGTGCCACCAGAAGAATGTATAACAGTATTGAATCATGTTCAGGATAATTGTCCAAAACTACAACTTGCAGGATTAATGACAATTGGTGCACTAAACCGTAATCCTAAAGAACCAAATCCAGATTTTATCGTATGGGCATTTTATTATTTTCTGTCCTTTATTCACTTAATACTTTTTGTTACTAAAATATTTATTATTTCATTGGATTAGACATTAAAAAATTTGCAAACTCGATTTCAAGAAACAAGTGGAATAGATTTAGAGTTAAGTATGGGCATGTCTGATGATTTTGAAGAAGCATTAAAATTAGGTGCTACTAATGTAAGAGTTGGATCTGCAATTTTTGGTGCGAGACCACCTAAACATTAAATTTAACTTTTCAACAACCAGAATTGGCCAAATTTATAGCAATTTATAGCAATATCACCCGACCAAAATTATTACTCTTAATTTATTAATATTATACTGTATTAAAAATTGTGAAAATATCGATTATATTGACCTAAATAAATCAATATTTTTTCTATATCTCTGACCAGTGTTTTTAAAGTGATCTAGGTTAGAGTGTCCAGGATTATAATCCGACATAATTCACCTTATACGTTAGCACATAAATTATGCGATTTTGTATAATTTTAAGTTCAAATTTCGCATAATTTAGCCACTCACATGTGTAAAGAAATTTCTATTGGTTAATTTGCGTTACACGAATTAAGTTACAGAATGTTGTATTTACTGTACTAATTTTCACCCACCTTTTCTACCATTCTGATTGGCTGTACTAACGCGACAGACACAAGACTATATAAAAGACACCAAATGAAAAACATTATGAAAAAAAGAAGAAAACCAGAAAAAGGTTTTACCAATGCCACCCTGGGTTTATTTGTAATTTCATATAAACTATACAACAAACACTAAATAAAAAAATAACATCAAACAAAAGATATTATAAGATTACATGCTGCTTATTGACTCTATATTCATTCTAATAATACCTTAAAAGAATAAAGAAGTTAGTTCAAAAAAATAAAATCTTACCAATGCTGCTTATATTTGTTTTAGCACATTTATAAAGAAAAAATAAATAAAGAAATTAGTAAATAAAATACAAAAAAGCAAAAAAAAAAAAAAAAAGAAATTCAAAAAAAAGTTTTATTTATTTTTTTTTTAATCATTTGGCAATCTTGCCAATCCTTTATTAGGATTCAATATTAAACTCAAAGGTAAAATATTAATTATGACTAAATAAAGCCTACCTAAGTTACAATATTAACTAACCCGGCTTATTGTAACACTAAAGTGCCCAAGTCACCCATGTTCAATCTGCTATAATAAAGTTTATCTTCATACAAAAAAACTCTACAAATGAATTTTTCAATATTACTGAATAGTATTTATAGTCTATCAAGATTGCCTTTTTTTCTAAACCTTCTTTCTCTAACTTTCCAAGCAAAAGGATTTATAGTCTCTAACTGACTTACAAAGAAAAATACTAATACTAAAAAAAAATAAAGAGAATAAAACAAAAAAAGAAGGAAAAAAAAAAACTGCCTAGACCTGCGGGTCGATAGCATAGCGGTTATGCTCCCAGGTTGCAAATCGGACAGTTGCCAGTTCAATTCCTCCCAGCGGTGAAATAATAAAAACCCAAATATGGAAGTGAAACACTGCAGGGTACAGGGAACTCAGGACATCTACGGATGGACATATTCGGGAAATAGTTATTCCAAGAAGTTGTGGCTATGAAGCGAGGCGTGTTAGAACCCCGATTTGGAATAACTGAAGTCATGAGACGTACTGTGAGGCCAAAGTCTGAGAAG